TTATCAGCCACTGTTTGCCGAAGACGCCTCTGACGATGTCGGGCGCACGGCTTTTTATTCTGCTCACTCCTCTTTGGGGGATTGTGATTTTGAACTGTGGACGGACGGTCCTTCATATCTCGCTGCACTCGCATCCGGATCCGCTGCGCTATTATATGACTCCACCACGACAAATGATCCCCCTGTGGAGGTACATCGTGCAGCAGCTGGCAGCCTCGCATGCTCATATAGGGCAGACTGCCTTGCGATCGAAAATGTTTTTAGACATCTCATACCTCCTTTTCTGGGAACATCCCAATCGCCCACACGAATGCTGGAGGAAACGGACTCCCTCTCGGCAATTGAGGCGCCCCGCGTTGCCCACCGACCGTGCGAGACCGCGTTGCTGAGTAAATTTGGATTATGCTGCTTTCCTTGGTGAAGCGAGGTCACCCTGTGGATTTTATATTTTCCCATCACACTGCGGTATTCCACGCAGTGAGGCCGCTGACAAACAAGCCACGATTGCACGATCCCTCCCGCAGGACTGCGTCAATGCCTGGCACGTGGGCTCCCTCACCGCCGTCAAAAGGTTATAATGGAAGGATGCCCAGGAGGAAAAGGAGGGCGCGCACACCGCGTGACAGGCGCCTGTCGGTGTGGCGAGGACTCTATTCCTGGTGCTGACCCGGACATCGCGCCCCGAGTGGCGGCACCGCGCACAGGCACGATGCGACACCCGCCCACTCTTCGACAGGCCTGCACGCGCCCTGCGGATCACAAGGAACCCTCTGTGTCGGTGGTGCCGTCCCTCCCTCACTGCGGTGACCGGCCCGCCTCTGCCTCCGCCGGAACCTCTTCCCGACGTGAGCACCGCAACTCCTTGTCGACCAGCGAGCGGCGGATTGACGTCCTCCTGCCCAACCTGCAGCAGAGTGCGCTCGTCTGTGCACAGTATGAGGGCACATGCCGGACGTGCTCAGCCTGGCGTTATAATAGTTTGCGAGGGCCTCCCATGCGGATGCCACAATGGCGCCACCGTCTTCTTAACAGGTGCCTCGCGCGCAGGTCGCCGCCGAAGTTGCCAAGCATGCCAGCAGGCAAGACACGCAGGAAGCACAAACGGGTCGGAAGGGCACCAGATGGAGCCATTTACATGGCTGCCCGCGGAGCAGTATTTCTATCCGCTGCTGAATTCCATCGGCGCTTATCAGCGCTATACATACCGTTTGCGTGCCGTATGTGGCGCGCAACGACAAAAGCTACTGCTAAGCGTAGAAATTGAGCAGAACCCAGGCCCCATAGCAGTACTCCAGATGAACGTTTCTTGCCTCACACCGTCAAAACTCGCAACATTAATGGCGCAAGGAGCAGACATAATAGCCATTCAGGAGACTTGGAAGTCGTCGGAGCAGATCGCCAGCATGCACACTGGAGATTATGTGCTCTATGCACAGTCGCGCATCGGCAAGGGAGGCGGTGTGGCGGTGCTGGTGCGGAAAACTCTCCGCTCCAAGCGTATACCTCTCACCATCCCCCAGCATGACACCAGCCTTGAAGCGGTGGTGGTCCAGGTTGCTCTGGACCAGAACCGTGATCTTATCGTAGCGAGTGCCTATATGAGACCACCACCGCAAGTAACGCAATCCTTCAGGCGGTTAGTAAACTGCCTTCCAGCCTCGTCGCCGCTCCTGCTGTGCGGGGATTTCAACATGCATCACCCACAGTGGGAGCCATTCTTGGAGACTTCTCCAAGCGAGGTTGCTGCAGAATTTTTAGAACTGTGCACGGATGCGGGACTCACCTTGGTTAACACCCCTGGTGAGATCACGTATGCCCGTGGCACAAGAGAACGATCCTGTATCGATCTGACATGGTCGAAGCATTTGACTGTGCCGGATTGGTCAGCTTCCGTGTCGCCGCTTAGTGGTCAAAAAAGACCTTTATCATTCCAGGAAAACAACAAAGCCAACAGTAAAATGTAAATAATAAAACACGCATGCAACGCGGCACGTGTTCTCCATGAGGAGTCGCAATTCCACACTCTTCGGCTCACAAGACCGCCACAACTCCACACAACCCCAGAAGAAGCAGCAACACCCAACACACACACACGCACAGTGCCGTCAACAATTAACTCTCGCAGTGCCAATTTCGCTTCTTTGAGCAGGGCAATGCAGTCGTGTGGACTCCCGCCGCTCCCGGAACACTGCGCGGTGCATTTTTGTAATTGGGGTCTGTTATCGTGTCCAGAGGCATTGTGTTGACTCAATCCATACGCATCACCCTCAGCAACAAATCCACTGCCTGCAACGCCATTTTCTAAAACGAAAGATTTGTGTCCAGTGGCGCTGCGCTCATTCACCTCGTCCGTGTTATCCGCAGCAACGTGTTCCCTGCCGCCACAAGTGACAGACATGATCCCGGATGCATTCGACGCCACTAATATTCTCGGGCCGTTGGCAATGCTAGGCTTCCTCTTCTTGGACGCATTCGGGACCATCATTTCATTCAGATTGGTGGCAAAATCAGGCCTCATTTCGGACGTGTTGGTCGCCGTGTTGGATGCGGGACTCCGATCGACGGTGTTGGGTCCGTCAGCCGCCGCAGACCGTTGCCAATCCTCGTGTTGACGTGACGGCTCAGCAGCCACTTGCGGCGCAGTTGTCCCACCAGATTTTGTGTCATCCCTCCCTTCACGGGGTGGCGGCAACTGACGGATGCCCGTCCGGTCAGCATCGCTGCTCCGTGCAGGCGGATGGATGGTTCCATCGGGGGAAAATTGACGCCACCACAATTCATAGGGCCGGCGTATTTATGCGTCGTCACATTCACCGTGAAGGCAACGGTGGCCCCTTCCTCTTCCGTTGCACAGCTGACAGCACAGTTGCTACATGTGTGCACCGCATTGGCCACATGACACACAGCACCCAGCTCACCATTCGTGCTATGCATGCGCACATCAAAGCCACTGAACGTATAATTCTCATGCTGAGCCTCAGCACCGGCAGCGGAACACTTCTTCCACGCCCACACACACGCACGCGATAGCTCAGGCCGCCGTCACCCGGAGCACACGACACATCCACCGGCACAACCACCGCATCCGCATCACCAGATACATCTCCAGCACTCCCAGCAGCCGTCACGCACACGGACGAGCAGCAGCAGCACGAGAGCGCAAGGACCAACACGGTGCCGCACCGTCACCATCGTCATCATCACCGGTATTGGAGTCGCTGGAGTCAGCCAGCTGATCGGTGGGACAGAAGAAAAAGAATGCAACAAGAGGGAGAGGGACGGGGCATAGCGGATGCAGCGCGAGAGAGCAGACAAAATGAGGAAAGGGCAGCAGGCCCAGCCGCACAGTTCGCACACCACGAGACGGCATCCACCACCATCTCCACCCAGCTCATTCCTGCTGTCCCAGAGAAATGGCAAAAGCACCGCGGCCACCACACAACGCACACGGAGCAAGCACCCACCACACGAGGCAGAAGCGGAAGCAAAACCTCATCCATCCATGACGTGGCAACAAAATTACCTGCCATCCCGCCCTCAATGGGACACGGAGCCCAACTCAACGCAGTCACACGCAGTGCATCACACCCGCAGGAAAATAGACTCGGGCTGCGCGCTCCCTCTCCTCCCTTCTCCTCATGCCCACGGAGGAAGACAACAGCCGCCACACGCAACTGCCAGCATGCACCACAAAAGGAGCATCCAAATCCACTGCAATGTGCATCCTGTGTGTGTGTGCCTGCAGAATCACAAAGAAAAGAAGAAAAGAGGGAGCAGAGTATGCGGAGAGACACACAAAAATGTACAGCGGAGACGCATGGCGGAAACAACAACAAGAAGACCGCTCAAACTCATGACTGTACTGCAGCCTGGGCTGCAGCAATTCACACAAGATTTATTGAAAACAAAAAAAGAACGTCCCCCTTCGTCTTATACAAACCCCATCACACAAAACAATTATAAATAAAAAAGAAATCGTCCATTACTGTTCCACACAAATAACATTTAAAAAAGCTTCCGACTGCCGTGTGGCCACACCAAACCGTCTGCATATTTTACCCAAAAATAAAATTAAAAAGATATTTAAATGTCTTTCAACCGTCCGACCCTCCATGTGTCCGCACATCGTTTATATTTCATGGGGTCATCTGCGTGTTGCTGCTCCCCTCAGCCCTCCCATCGGCGCGTGAGTGCGGCCCGCAGAGCACAGTCACTCGTGTGTGTGGACTGAGAGAAGCACGCAGACATGACGGCAGTCGCGTCACCCCATCGGGAGAGTGAGCGCAGCAAAAGAAAAAAAAATCATCAGGAGGAGGAGAAAAAAGAAATGCTCACGAGGCCGACACCGAAGGGACTGCCGGCGCAAGAAATTCACGAAAAGCAAAAATAAAAAAAAACACGGCGGCAGGGTGTGGCTGTGTGTGTGTGGCGCTGCGGGTGTCTGCCCGCCCTGGACGCAAGAAAACAAAACAAGAGGGGAAGAAATGTGTGCTCCGCCCCACAGGCCCTCGTCGCACGCCCACACGTCACGGCTCCCTCAGCGCGCCGTTCGCCGCGGCCCCTCCTCATGCGTGCAGCAGGCGAGGCGCACAGGGCCGTCGTCATGAGCGTGTCGGTGGTGTGCGAGTGGAGCAGTTGGGCGGAAACACACGGCACCCCTCACAGGAGGAGTGCAGCAACAAACAATTAAAGAGGGAAGAGCGGAAAAGAAAAAAACGTCCACAGTGATTGCCCCAAAAGCAAAAAAGAAAGAAATGAAGAAATTGAGAAATAAAAAACAAAAAGGAAAAACGCACAACCAAAAAAAAAAACGCAAAAAAAGTTTAAAATTACGCTCATAAAACAAAAATAAAAAAACAAAAAGAAAGTAGCAAACAGGAAATTAAATTTAAAATAAGCAAAAACTGAGGAAAAATTATTTGAAAGGGAAAGAATTAGTTCTTGGACGCAATTCGGTGCTGGGGAGGTCGCAAGTGTCCTACGCGGCAGCCAGTCACCCCTCACAGAGCGGCAAACCCCCACAGTCCCAACAGAAGGAGCAGCGGCAGCGCCCTGCTCCCACGCACAGTACACGCATCGCTGTTATTCCCCTGCGACAAATTTCCGAGACTGCTGCTGAGTGCCGCAGACTTTACTTCCCCGTTCTGTGGATGGATTCCCTCCTCTCCCTGCGCATCCGTTCCTTCCGCCGTCTCCCTATCCTCGCCAGAGCCGACGCTCACCTCAGGAGTTTGGAGTGGTCCATCTCCCTGAACCGTTTCTCCACCCATTGTTGCCACCGTTTGAGCAACATCAGACGAGGGAGTCGTAGCAATGGAAACTGCACTGGATACACCGCCACCGCCAGCACCAGTATTCGCCCCCAACGTTTTCTCTTCCAACGGCCGTTGCCCGGCAGAATTAGGTCGAGGCAAGGTTCCTTCCAAATCTGGTGCACTTGCCGCTGGTGAAAGAGGAGGTGTCGTCGATGTCTTCGTTTCTTCCCGCTTCGGAATAGTAATTGTATTTTTGGCAAGCCCTGCAATCTCCTCGGATGTCAACGGGCGGTTGTACAGCAGGACGTTCGACACAGTCACGGAAAAGCCTTCTTGGCTCCCCGTGTTGCTTCCATCCCCTCCAAAGTAGAAGTGGGAGATGTTTTTATTTTCCTTACCTTCCAATTGGCATTGCACATTCTCCAACACACGCCTACCATCGACGTACGCGGAGCTCTGGTTGCCGTTCTGCAGCACAATGGCCAATTGGTGTGTTTTCTCTTGCCCCTCAATGCGGTTTTGCACCTCCGTCTGTTTCCCACCGCACAACATCTGCCACTTTTTTCTCTT